TTTGATATTTACCCAGAAGTGGGATCACTGAATAATATAATTAATCACATGGTTAAAGGGTCTTATTTTTATTTTTTTAGGAAACCCAGGGACTTTAAAAACTATTTTCAGTTTAGAGAAACTTAACAGTACTGAGTAATTGGACTTATGCAAAATATGGTCCTGGAGGATAAGCTAGAGCTATCTCCAGAGAAACTTCATGAATGAGGAGAGATAGCAAACGTGGGAAATTGTGGTGTTCCTTCCAGACACCTTCTGTTTTCTCTATAAAGTATAAGAGGGCAGCTCAGAGCAAGAGGGAATATGTTAAAGTCTTGTCTGGAACAAGTTGCTTGCTCTGAATAGCAACTTAGAGGAGTGGAAGAACCAATCAAACAGGGAGATGAGGGGAAGTTTGCAGGGAACAGCTAAAGCTGGAGGACATGATTTTTCAAGGGTATCAGTCTCCATGTAACATAGAAGTCTGAATGTAAGATGAATCATCCACATGTATGCTGAATGTTAGTAAATGTGCAGGCCTTACCAGGAGGTCAATAGAGTAACACAGATGTATAGACTCAAGCCTATGGCCAAATTGGTGCATAATAAATAAACATGAATAAATCCAAGAGACCCAACAGGTATTTTACTTGAGGAAGCATTTGAGTAATTTGCTTTATCTAATATTTTGAGGAAATTCACTGCCTTTAACTTTATTTATTTTTGAGATAGAGTCTCACGTTGTCCCCCAGGCTGGAGTGTAGTGACAGGATCTCTGCTCACTGCAACCTCCACCTCCCAAGTTCAAGTGATTCACCTGCCTCAGCCTCCTGAGTAGCTGGGATTACAGGTGTGTCCCAGTACCCTCGGCTAATTTTTTTATTTTTAGTAGAGATAGGGTTTTACCATGTTGGCCAGGCTGGTCTTGAACACTTGACCTCAAATAATCCACCCACTTCAGCCTCCCAAAGTGCTGGGATAACTGGTGTAAGCCACCATGCCCAGCCTGCCTTTAAATGTAAAAACCCATTAAAATGTGTAATAGGTGAATCATTTTTTTAAAAGGATTATTTTTAATCATTTTAAATAAGGTAACTAGGCTGAATGCAGTGGCTCAAACCAGTAACCTCAGCAGTTTGGGAAGCTGAGGCAGGCAGATTGCTTGACTCCAGAAGTTTGAGACAAGTCTGGGCAACATGATGAAACTCCATTTCTACAAAAAAATATTTAAAAATTAGCCTGGAGTGTTGGCACATGCTTTTAGTCTCAGCTACTTGGGAAGGCTGAGGTAGGAGGGTTGCTTGAGGCCAAGAGGCCAAGGCTACAGTGAACCATGATTGTGCTACTGTCCTCTGCCCTGGGTGATAGATCGAGTCTCCATCTCAAATAAATACACACATACATACATACATACATAACTATAAAGTAAGATAAAAACTCACTACTCAACTACTCAGACTTAGGTACTTATAGAGACCAGGAATTGACTCATCCTAATATTGGAAAAGCCAACTGCTTCTGTATCCCAAAACAGCAGGAGATAAAACTGTCTCCTGGAGCCCTCCATATTGCCAGGCAAGGAAACCGGCCTAGGCAAAGTTATCAGAATATGTGTTTGCCTTTACCTTATTTCGAATAGACTTAAAATAGTTGGTTGTTAAAGGAGAGAGGAATCAGTAAAGAACAAAAGGCAGGAAATAAAAAGGGAGGGTTGGTGGACTTTAAGAATTATATCAAGAAAAGATCTTTTGGTGTTGAGTAAGAAAATTGGGGATGGAAATCCACTGGAATGATTTCCTGTATTTTTTGGAAAGGCTCCAGTGAGTTGTTCTTTAGCTTCCTAGACAGGTAACGATAATATGCCATGTGTGGAACCAAAGGGCATCACCAGTCCTGACTAAAATGCTAAGATATCTGTAACACCAGGTATCCCAAGAGTGTGGAGAAGGTGAAAGTTACAATTGGTAGGAGACAGGGTAGAGGAAGGTATTGAGTTACCAAATATGAGTTTGTCATAGCAAGGTAGTTAGATGAGTACTGCTATTTGCAGGTGGTTAAACGTATATAGTACCTAAGAAAATGAATTACATGGTCTTGGTGGCTGTCAGACTATATGAGAAAGGCAACTTGAAGAATCTTGAAACTGGTCATTAAAAGCTGGGAGGAAAAATAGGGCTACAGTGAGAAATCATGTAAGTTACCTTGCTATAAAAATATAAAATCTGGATAATAAAAGTGTTTATTGTGACAGGTGTGGTTCATGATAATTACAGATTACTCATATCCTCTTATAAATCTGCTTAATGTGAAAGCAGGATGTCAAAGAGGACATCTCTAATAATCATGTTAACAGGATATGTTCTACGGTAAAGAGGAAGTGCAACAGTGACCTCAGGATGCCTTCCCAGATTGAGTCCTGTCCCACACACCTTGTAGTAATACAGCTTCAAGATACAACAAGCAAAAATTGAAAAAAAAATAGAAGCAGAAATAACCAAATTCATTAAAAGATATATTTTAACACATCTATCAGCAATTGACAGATCAAACAGCCAATAATTTAATAAGAATTTAGAAGTTTCAAACAACATAATAAAAATACTTGATTTAATGAGTACACAACCCTAAACCCAACAATTACATACTATGCATTATTTTCAAGCATCCATGGAATAGTTATAAAAATTACATTATGATATGTGATAAACTATGTCTCAAAAAATAATAAAGAGTCCAATTTATGCAGATAGGCTAGAAGCCATACCTGGTATAAACATACCTGGCATAAATTAGGCATGGCTTCCAGCCTATCTGCATAAATTGATGTATGAACTAGGTATGAACTAGCCATACCTGGGATATTGAACTCAGTGAATTATTGAACATGAATTGAGTAGCAAAATAGGACATGTAGACACTCTTTAGGGACATGATTCTTATGGTTTGTTTGGCTATTAGACTACAGATGGGAAAACAAACTTGGTTGGTTTTGAAACTTGTTACCAAAAGCTGGGAGAAAGAAAAAAAAAAACTGGGGCTGTGGTCAGAAATCTTGTGATAGAGTACTCCATGACAGGAGAAAACCTGGTTAACAAAATGTAACAGGGAACAGGTAAAACACATGGATTGTGCCATCTTGCTGAAACTATTACATGTGAGAATGGTAATCCTGTTCCAGTACTGTTCTGTGGTTAGGAGTAAGTACAACAGTTCTTTGAGATGCCATTCTGGACAGCCTGACACACTTGTTACACGACATGACACAATGTATTGTATCCCTTATGACATGAAGATCTTGTCTTGAGGTGCAGGGGCCATCGTGACACAGATGCCATCAATGTCCCTCCCTTTTACATTCACTAGTCTCCTAAACCCCTGTCGACATTTTGTCATATCCAGAATTTCTTCTCCATCCTTTCTCTTTGTGATTAACAGCAACTTTAGTGCTCCAAAGAGTGCTGCAGTAAGATAGTGCTGCCAGGCTGACCATGAACTACAGGTTCTGCTATTTTGTAGCTGGTAAACAGACTTGCTTCTCAGAAAGGAAAACTCAAAAAAAACCACCCAGTATCCGTAATACCATGTAGTAATAAACTTAGACCTTGAATTCAAGTCTGAATTCTTTCATAAACACTTTTTGAACAGGGTCTCATTTAAAAGAATTAAACAAAACAAAAATACCAAACTGTGGCATTATTCTGAAATCAGCCATGTAATATGGAACATAATCTAATTAGGAGAGCCACTTAATTAATCGAAGTTATGTGCTACAGTATAAATGTTTTT